ATGCAACTGAATTAGGTTATTAACTCTGGGAGTCTTTTATTGGAGTTTTTGGTGTCTTCCATGTGCAGTATCATGTCATCTGCAAATAATAACAATTTCACTTCCTCCATTCCTATCCTTATTCCTTTTATTTCTCTCTCTTGTCTAATTGTTCCAGCTAGAATTTCCAGAACTGTCTTGAAAAGGAGTGATAACAATGGACATCCTTGTCTTGTTCCTCATTTTAGAGTGAAAGCTTTCAGTTTTTGTCCATTTAGTATGATGTTGGCCATTAGTTTGTCATAGGTGGTTTTATCAGACTGAGATAAAGACCATCTATTCCAATTTCCTAAAAGGTTTTTATAATGAATGATTGCTGAACTTTATCGGAAGCTTTCTCTGAATCTATTGAGATGATCATGTGATTTTTGTCTCTGTCTCTGTCAAAATGGTGTATTACATTTATTGATTTGCATATGTTGAATCATCCCTGCATTCCTGGTATAAATTCCACCTGGTCATGGTGTATAATCTTCTTGATGATTTTTTGAATTCTGTTCGCTGGTATGTTATTGAGGATTTCTGCATCTATGTTAGTTAGGGAGATTGGCCTATACTTTTCTTTTCTGGTTGTATCTTTCTTTGGTTCAGGTATCATGATAATACTTGCCTCCAGGAAAGAGTTAGGGAGTATTGCTTCCCTTTCAATTTAATTAAAGAATTTGAAGAGTATTGGCATTAGACCTTCTCTACATTTCTTGTAGAATTTAGCAGTGAATACATCAGGACCTGGACTTTTCCTTGTTGGTAAGTTTTTCATTAACTTTTCAATCTGATTAACTGATATTAGCTTATTGAGAATTTTGATATCTTCTTGATTCACCTTTGGTAATTCATATGTATGTAGGCATCTGTCCATATCTTCTGTATTCCACCCTATGAGAGTAAATATTTTCAAAGTATTTATTGATGATATTCTGAATTTCTGCAGGATCTGTAGTAACTTCACCCTTATCATTTCTCAGTGCATGAATCTGAGTATTTTCTTTCCTTTTTTGATAAGGTTGGCTAAGGATTTATCAATTTTATTTATTTTTCCAAAGAATGAACTCTTCAATTTATTTATTCTTTCTATTGTTTTCTTGATTTCCATTGTGTTAATTTATCCTTTGATCTTTATGATTTCCTCCTTTCTATGAGCTTTGGATTTGTCTTGCTCTTCTTTGTCTAGAAACTTGAGGTGCTACTTTAGATTGTTTATTTGTGCTCATTCTGATTTCCTGATGTGAGAATTCACCCCTATAAATTTCCCTCTTAGGACTGCTTTCATAGTATCTCATGGTTTCAGGTATGTTGTGTCTGCATTCTTGTTTAGTTGTAGATATTGTTTAGTTTGTTGCTTTATTTCATCTATGACTCATTGGTTGTTTATGAAAGTATTATTTAATTTCCATGTATTTATGGAATTTTTGCAGGTTCTTTCACAATTGATTTCTAATTTAATTGTACTATGGTCAGATATTATGCATGGGATAATTTAAATTCCTTTGCATTTACTTAAGCATGTTCTGTGGGCCAGTATATGGTCTATCTTAGAGAACATTCCATGTGCAGCTGAGAAGTATGTGTATTCTGATTATGTGGGGTGGAACAGTCTCAAAATTAAGTCCATTTGTTCACAGGTTTGGCTTACTTCTGTTATTTCTTTGCTGAGTTTTTGTCCAGTTGATCTATCTCTTTGTGATAATGGGGTATTGAGGTCTCCTATTACAATTGTGTTATTGCTTATTTGGTTTTTCATGTCTATTCATAATTGTCTTATATAGGTGGATGCCCCCATATTTTGTGCATATATATTTATGATTGTTATCTCTTTCCCATGAAGTTTTCCCCTAATCAGTATATAGTGATCTTCCTTACCCCTCCATATCATTCTTGGTTTGAAGTTAGCATTGTCTGCCAAAATAACACCTATGCCTTCTTTTTTCTGGGTTCCAGTTGAATGGAGGATGGTTTTCCATCTTTTGATTTTTAGTCTATGGATTTCTTTTTGCATTAAATATGTTTCTTATATACAGCATATTGTTGTGCCTTGTTTCTTGATCCACTCTGCCAGTCTATTCCTTTTGACTGGTAAATTGAGGCCACTTACATTGATGGTTATAACTGACATGTATTGGTTCTCTTGGTCATGTTATTTTCCTGTTGTTAGCTTCTTGCTTTTCCCCTCGGTTTAATTGCTTGCCCTGCCTTGTGGTTACTTTTTGTTGTTGTTCTTTGAATTATGGTCATTTTATTCTGTCTAGAATATTTTTAGCAGTCTTTGTACCATTGGTTTGGTGTTTGAAAATCTCTTCACTTGTTCTTTGTCAAGGAAGTATTTTATTTTTCCATTAATTTTGAAAGAAAGTTTTGCAGGCTACATCAATCAGGTTTGGAAGTTGTTTTCTTTCAGGACCTGAAATACTTCACTCCAAGATCTTCTTGCTTTGAGGGTTTTTGTTGAGAAGTCTGCTGTGATTTTGATGGGTGTTCCACAATAGGTGATCTGTTTCTTTTCTCTAACAGCTTTTACTGTGAAACATTTTTATTTGCAGATAAGCTTGATTACAATCAGTGCAAAAAGATACTAAATACACAGCATAAAAGGTGAGCCAGCTGTTGCAGTATTTGTCTTTTGACAACAAGCACATATGTCAACATCTCTAACTCAAGGATGTACTTGAAGGGTGAAACACAGGTACTATGCTGCAGGTTTGACTGGCCTCCAAAAGCTTTCAGGGTATCATCAAATATGTTGGACACCTTGTGTTCTGATCTTGGTTCAGTTGCTGGCTGTGCAGGCCAGCTTTTTGGCTTGGTTGTCTTAGTCTGGAGACCAGAGAAGAAGATATCATCCATATCGTCATCAATGATAGACTAACCTTCCACTTTCTTTTTGGACTTTCTTTCAGGAGCCCCTTTGTGATGCCCCTGGGCCAGCCTGAGTGCAAGGCTGACCTACTTGATTCCAAGGACATCTTTTCCAAGGGCACAAGATTATGGTCCACAGAGAGAGCAAAAGCCCAGGTGAAGGTCATGGAGACCTCAGCCCACCCTGCTGAGGGAGGGAAAGAAAAGAGTTCTCTCACTGGCGAGGCCAGCAGTGATGATGATCTTTTTCAGTCCTTCAAACCAAGACCAGCAAAGAAAAAAAAAACCCCTTTCCCCTCCTGGATGATGAGGACGATTTCTTTACTGATCAGAAAGGCAAAAAGAATGAGCCCAAGTACAGTGATCAGCAGGGTGTTGTATCAAAAGTACAAGATATTTTTGAGGATTACATATTTGCTACAGAAGCAAATAAAGGCTCACAAAAAGAGAGAGAGAAGGAAAAAATCTTGGGACCCAGCTTACTTGATGATAACATTGATGTCTTTGCTGACATAACCCTCTTTGACAGCTTTTAGTATTTTGTTCTTGTGCTGAATTTCTGGCGTCTTGATTATTGTATGTCATGGTGTAGTTTTATTTTGGTCATGAATATTTGGAGTTTTAAATATTTCATTCACTTGTGTGTCAAACTATTTTTCCACACTTGGGAAGTTTTCTGCCGTTATTTCTGTGAAGCTTTTTTTTTTATACCATTTGTGCTTGCTCCTTGACACCAATTAATCTTATGTTCTTCTTCTTTGCTTAATCTTATAGCTTTCTGATTGATTTTTCATTCTCCTTTGCTTACAATCGAAATTTTAATCTTTTGAACTTGTATTTGGATCTGCTTCATGGATTCCATTTCTTTTCTATGCGGGACATTATGTATATCCCTCATTTTTGTGAACTGATCTATACTTTTATCTGTGTCTTCTCTAAAATCTTTGATTTGAAGCATCATTTCTTTCTGTACCTGAGAGATTATTTTCTTCATAGTCTTTTCCACTTGTTTTTTCACTTCTGTAGGTATCATTTTAGAAAGTCTCAATGTTTGATTTTCAATTTCATCTATCTCCTTGAGTTCTGGGTTTGTCTTGGGTGGGCTGAGGTTCTAGGGTTGCACTTTGCTTCTGCATCTTGTCATTTTCTATTTTCTCTTTTATATTTTGTTTCCTATGTTGATACTTGCCAATTTCTTATGATTTATAGCTTTGTTGCTAGTATTTACATTTCCTTAGAGGATTCTGTCCTTCAGGGATGTCTTCTAGATGTAGATGATGTCTTATAACTATCCCAATGCCCTAGCTTACCAATATGTAAAAGATGCAATATTCCTATGTGGTTCAGCATCCAATCCTTTTGGGCTCTGATGGTGATTATGACTTCATACAGTCACAGTGTTATTATACAGGGAAGAAAAACTGTTTATAACATATATGAAATCCTGGATAAAGTAGTACAGTTAGTAATAACAATAGTTTCAAGTACAGCTTAACTGATGATAAACTATAGTAATCATTAACCTATTAGCTCTGACTGAAGGAGTAAACTCTAAAACTATATAACAAAATCAAATATACTGTGCACTTGTATGCAGGGATTTTCCCCTTTAGTCAGGTGTTGGGAGTAGGGGAGTTAAAATGGTTAGGGGATGGGCTAAAGTGATGAGTGGATCAAATATAATACAGTCAGGACTGGAGATTAAAGGATGATCACATAAGTTTTGGGAAACTAGAGTACACAGAAGGGAAAGAATAAAATAGAATTGAAAGGAGTAATCAAAAAGGATAGAGACAATATTTATGCCCTTGAAAGTTTAAATTCAGGAAGTAGTTGAGGAAAGAGAAAAAATGGTTGTATAGGAGAGAATGAGAAAAAAGGTAAGAAACATAAACATTGAAAAAAGAAGGGAAAAAGAAAGAGAAGGAGAATGAACAGGAGAGAAGAAAGAAATAAAAAGGAGATGAGAGAAAGAGAGGAGAGAACAAAAGGACAAGAAAAAAATACAAAAATAACTTCAGAATGCAGAAGAACACAGGATGCCATCCAACCAGACAGGAGACAGAAACCAATCAGACGAAAAAGGGAGAATGAAAGCAGTAAAATACCTGATGTTTACAGTTCTGTGAACAGTTCTGCTGCTTCACACACTTCCATGCTGCTGGACTCACTCATTACTCTGATCTTCAAAGGCGTGTGTGCCACAGTGCACCTGATCCTTGGCTGTTGTCCTGTCTTTGGTCTTGGTGTTCCTGTCAGTTTACTCAACAAAGACATGGGTCTTTATACTCCTCTCAAAGATGCAGCCATCCTGAGACAATGGAGGATGCAGAGAGACCAGACTCACTCTCTTCTTGCAGGCCCTGCATCCCAGAGGGGATGGAAGAAAGGAATATTTTGAGAGGGATTAATAGCAGTATGTCTTCTATGGAAATAAACTTTTTAAAATTAAAACACTGTATTTCTGATCACAGAAAATAAGAACACTCTCATCCACTTTGTAATATTATTTTCAAATTTAACCCAACTAATAGTAATGTGTACTATTATTTAATATGCAACACCTATTAAATGTACTAATTGTGTCCAATATACTTTATAGATGGCTATTCAAAGCAATATTTATTAATGACCACAAATTGCTCTGGGCTATATTTCCTAAGTCGTATTGGAGTGAAAATTCAAGAGTATTCACCTTCTAAAATTGTAACATTTGTATGATATTTGACTACAAAATCCTGTAAGTTTTCTAGAGTCATTTATTAATATTCCTGGGTATGCTATATCACTCTTAAACATCATACTCACTACAACAAATCACTTTACACATTTGTTTACTGTCCCTCCACTATATAGAAAAAACTTGAAAACTTACTGATATTTTTGCAAAACTAATTCAAAGATCCCAGTGATCTATATTTTATAGACAAGTGATTCTACTGTTTAGTCAAGTTTAAAAAGTATTGTTACACTTCACATATGGTGCCCTATACATACACTATATACTTGGACAAACAGCATTATAATTATACATACTTTTAAGAAATGAGATGAATTTAGCATATAATGAGCAAAATCATGAGTTTGACAGGAAAGTGAGTAATTACTAAGTGATAAAGACAGAAAATATCCAAAAATTTGTTTAAAACATTAAATACAGCATATGAATTGACCTGGTGGTTATAGAACAACAAAATTTTATGTGACTTTCTGATAAATTATATTCAACTGGTAGGACTTTATTTTCTCCATATAAAGTAATAAATTTTTGAAGGTTAGTAAAAAAAATAGTTCTGGGAATATAAATAGAAGCTACTAAGAAAAGGTACACTGAAGTTTTAAATTGATTTAAGTGAAAGGAGAAGGTTAGCGCTCCCCATGCTGTATCATCATTCACCATATGGCTCTGTGCTGTTAATTTTGCAAGTTAGATTAATAGCTCAACACCTAAGAGCAAGTGGATCAGAACGCAAATTTCCTCTGTCCTGTCTCTTCCCTTACTGGTTAAAGAGCTATTTGGAAGAAGTCAAGAGAAAGGATGAGGTCTTTGCATTTCCTTTCCTTTCCTTTCCTTTCCTTTCCTTTCCTTTCCTTTCCTTTCCTTTCCTTTCCTTTCTTTTCCTTTCCTTTCCTTTCTTCCTTTCTTTCTTCTGCTACATAAACTTAGGCCAGAAAAGCTTCTGTTCTCTCCTCTTCTCCTATCCTGTCCTGTCCTATCCTGTCCTGTCCTGTCCTGTCCTGTCCTCTCCCCTCTTCTCCTCTCTTCTCTCCTCTCTGCTCACTTTTCCTCTCCTCTCTTCTCTTGTCTTCTCTCTTCTTCCTGTCTGTCCCTCCCTTCCTTTCCTTTTCTCACTCTTTTACAGTATTGAGGATTGAACTTAGGATCTTTGCTCTGAGCTAATTCCCATCCCTTTTTTATTTTTACTTTGAGACAAAGACTCTTTTGAAAAAGATTTTTCTCATACACAAATGATTAGCTATTTAACTGCCTTCAACATAGAGCATTCTTAGTGATCTGACATAACTAATCACAAAGGAAGCTTGAACCTGCAAGGAAAACAAGAAAAGGGCATTGTTGACCTGCATAAAAGTGCACATATTCATATTCAAATGGCATGGTAGATTAAACAGATGTCACTGAATCACAGGGATTTTGTGGAATGGAGATTTATTTTGGTGGAAATGAGGTCACAGTTTCAGAATAGATACAGCACTTCATGAGTATAATCATGCCTCAGGTTTCTGTGCCTGCCTCTGAGATAAACCTTAAGGATTGTTCCACATTATCATTATATACCTCATCAGTGTGATTTAGTTTCAGATTAAGTAGATAAGTTAAAACCAAAATATCCTTTTAAGAACCAAAACAAAACAAAAACATAACTCTGCCTGAGTTTAGGAAATGACATTATGTAATGAAATGTGGCCTGACTGAACATAACTGTTAGTATTTTAACATGAACTCAGTCTCTTTTGTATGTTCTGAAAAATGAGTGCATTTATTCACTGTTAGCACACCACCTAGTATTGTTCCTGGCACCAGTATGTCCTCATGAAATGCCTGGGGAATGAATGAGTTAATAAATTAATACTAAATATAGATTTACTAAGGTGGATTAAGATTATTCAGTAATTAATTTTATCTCAACTGTGCATTTAAACACACACATACTTGACTTAACCATTCCATCTATATTTTGAATATTAATATAAATATATTACTAGATTTTACCTTCATTAGAAGCAAACTATACAACTTCCAGATATAATATACACTTTTATGTTTATATGATCAGTGGAAAAACATGCAATTCCCTACACTAGGAAGCATTCAATGACACAAATTGTTGAGAAATACACAGTAAAAACATGATAATGAAACATGTTGAAGCTCTAATTTTGTTTTGATGCCTTAAATAAATCATTTGTGTCTACTCTGCATCTAGGAGAAAGAAATCTATTAAAAAAGATGACAACTAGGAAGCTAAAATAGACCTTACCTAATAATTATAACCATGAAATAGTATCTTTCTGTATTTTATTCAGATACATGGCATCTCTTCCCTAATCATTGATTTCTAAATTACAATATGTTACATGTATCATTTTTTCTTTATTCTTGAATAAAGATATTTATAGTTTCTGTTATTGTTATAGGTGTTTCATATGGACATGTGCATACACATATACATACACATGAACATTCATATTGCATCAAGCATCAAAATATATTACAAAAGAAGCTAATATCTACCTAAGACCTGTGAGTGGGTACTGTGGTACTGGAATAAGTTGATGGGAAGAGAATGTTCTTTTTAAGTGGCAATTATATATAATTTTTAAACTTAGCAGTTTCACATGTAACTCTGATGAGCATACTGGCCTAGGCTGGGAATAAGTCTGTGTATTTTAGGGAATCACAATATTCCAAATATTCAAATGACTCTAATGTATCACCAGTGCAGCTGTTCCACCTGCATTTTATAATAGGATTAGAATCTGAATTGGTAATTTCTTTGGTAGGGTTCCAACTGTGAATAAAATCATAGCAGCCCTTGAATGCTAAGATATATTTTTAATGGGGATAGGTATGAGAAATTCAGTTTAAAAAGAAAGCAAAATTCAGTTACAGGGTAAGTCAGAGCCAAGACATTCTTAGCAGGGTAAACTGTCTCACCCACTTTTAAACAAAGACAAACTGCCAGCAACAGGCTTAGATATAAGTACTATACAGAACCTATTCCCTCCCTATGAGTTTTTTTCAAAAGAATACAATTTTCCAGAGAATAAGAACAACTTATAAGAATATGAATTAATTCATCTTGGCCACATTGTAGCTATTTGTAGAGAATGAAAAAGGAAAAAGTCTCAAAACAACCAAGGCTTAGTAAAGTAAGATATATGAAGAAAGTCTCCTATATAATATATGTCAGCAATCCTTCCTGAATCCAGAATAAACATTTTAAACTTAGAACTACTACTGCTGCTGCTGCTGCTGCTGCTGCTGCTGCTGCTGCTGCTGCTGCTGCTGCTGCTGCTACTGCTACTACATTGAAAGAAACTGGAGTATAATTACCAAAACTTTCTGAAGCAGGAACATTTTCTCGAGGGTATAGCATGCACTTAAGTGCAGTATTTAAATGATTTCCTACAAGGTATCACAGAAAATAGAATTAAGGAAGTATAAGATCAGGCTTTGTATTTCAATGTGAGACCTAGCTCCACTAACTTAAACAGCTTGGATAAATTATTGAACTTCCCAGAGCCAGGTACATTTATCTGCTAAATAGGGATAATAATAATCATACTGCAGAGATTCTCATAAGAATTAAATGAGATAATGACAATATGTACTCATATGTTACCTAGCATATAATAATCTTTAATTTTTATCTGTTATTACTATTGAAAGCAAAAGTTATGAATTTCTTTTGTTGAATGCATTATATTTTCTTCCTAGCTGAGCAAATCTATTATTTTCTCTTTTTCTTAGTTTTTACTACAGTAAACTAAAAACATTTTATACAAGCAAGATTTGTGAGAAAATGAAATGAAATGTTATAAAAATGTATAAATTCCAAACAATATACAAAGGTCAGTTTTTAGTTTATATTCACTTTCCATTGAACTGAAATTTAGGTCAGGTAAGATTAAGTTGAAGGAATAGAAGATGCCTACATTTACATAGATATGAGAAAAATTCCAGGTAAATTTTGATTTAGAGTTATCCTATTTCTTAAAAGAAATCTAAAGCTACATTTGGATGACTGCTAAACTGTTGAGATTAAATTTAATTTGAACACATAGACCTATTGCTCACATACTCTGGAGTTTGCCTTTCCTGAGGTTACAGGAAATATGCAGGATTCTATAAAACAGGCAGACCAATGTCATCCTTCTCAGATAATTTATGCAGCTCTCCTATTTTCTAAGGTAATGAGAAGAGCATGAATTATTTCACATCTGCAGGTAATATAAAGTCTCTGAATTATTTTCAATCTCCTTCTCACCAAGCTCCTTATCAGTCCTGCACACAAGTAAAAAAATGAGCTAAATTTAGGTTAGTTCCATTTCATTCTTCTTATGGGAGGATTCAAAGAAGCAGTGTAAGAATCAAGAAAATGATTCAAATACTAATTCAGTATCTGCAAAATTGAGTAATTAGTCCCCCAAATAATGTAAAAGGTTCCATTTCTGTTATTTCATTTCTGTTTGCTTATTTTGAGTTTGCATCATAAGTTTTCTAAAAATTATGAAGCACCAGTCTCAGTAAAAACGATAGGTCACATTTGGGTAATACTTATTGTTTTCCAAATGTTCCAGGGTAAAATTACTGATCCTTGAATCAGCCATATTTCCACAC